GGGCACCTGTTGGGATGAGCACTGGGTGTTGAATGGAAACCAATTTGACAATAAATTTCATATTAAGAAAAAATACATACTAAAATAAAAAACTAAACAAAAACAAAAACAAAAAAACTATTGGACATGTTCAGAAGGTCAAATTTGACTCTCATTTTAAAGAGATTGTAAAAGAATGACATTTACAGTTTAAACAATGGCTCCAGGTTAAGAGGCCTATATGCTATCTCTCTACTATTTCCATGTAGATTTGGGGAAATGTTTTAAGTAACTTGTTTTTCTCTTAATAGCTGATAGGCTAAGGTTCAAACCAAAATATGGAAATTTTAAAATCACAATCACATACACATAGAGTCTACTCAATTAACCCTGATGTGAGCCAATACCAAATACATCCCTTCTAAAGAAGCAATGTAACATAGAGGAGCAAACACAGGTTTTATAGTCAGGCAGGCCAAGGTTGAGATCTGGTTTACCACTTAGTAACCATTACAAAGCTGGATGAGGTTTGGCAAGAGATTGAACTCAGCGACCTTCGCTTTCCTCCTAAGTAAAAAAGAGACTATAACAACTACTTCAGAGGACTGCTGGGTGGATTCAATTAGGCAATTTATTTAAAGTGCCTCATATAGTGCCTGAAACAGAACAGAGTAGGCACCTCAAAAGTGTTTGCTGAAAAAAGAGTGAAAAATATTTACTATCAATTAATAATAACAGTAACAAGGGCAGTACAAATTGAGAACAGCAAATGATACTTCATTTTGTGCTAGTTTTTTTAAATAAAATATTTAAGTTTTGTTGCTGTTACTGTTTTTAAGCCTTTAAGCATGTTTGTAATAGAGTATAAAAGTGTATCTCTTGCTCAGCATCCTCTGTCTTTCAAAGAAAGACATGATGGATACCACTCCTGTATTCTATATTGTTTTACTATCAGCATTTTTCTGGTTCTACCTTCTCAGCTATTCTACAAATGTCTTCATCAACCAAAGTTTTTCTCTGCACCAGTAAAAACTCACCTAAAAACAATGTTGCTGTGTGAACTGATGTTTCTGCCTCCATACACAGTAGTGATCCAGGCGGGCCTTGGTCTCACACCCCACTGTTTAAAACAGTCATCAGAATATTCCCTAAAGTTCCATGAGCGAGGCTCAAACATGTCATCGATACCATTAGTACAAAAAGGCATGACCATTTCTGTGCAAGCCTAAAAAAGGAAAACAAAAGAGAATCCAATGACAAAATAAAGCACAAAGAGTTAAATAACTTGTCCAAAGTTATTCTGCTGGTAGCAGCAAAGCTAGGGTTTGACCTCAGGCGGTCTGGCTTCAGAGCTCCTGCTCTTTACCTACATCATACCACCTCTCATTATTCCTGGAAAGGCTCAGCTGAGAAGGAACAAAAGTTAGGGCTATATATTCTTCATCGGTAAATTGCTTTCTTCCACATCTATTATCATATTTAACCCTCAGGAGGGAAAGTATTAGTATTAGTATTATTAGTCTCATGCAGGTGAAGGGATGGAGGCTCAGAGAGTCAAGTCAGACTCCCCTTCTTTTCTTCATCCATAAAATGCTTCCTTTTGATAGGAAGCATTGCTTTTGATAGGACTTACCAAGAGATATTGTAATATTAGTATCTTTTTCAACAAACTATATTTAAAGGTGAGATCATGCCGTATTTATCTTTGTATCTTTGGAGTCTAGCGGGTTGCCTGGCACATGGGTACCCAGAAAATATTTGGTGATGATTAAATACATGAAGGAAGGAAGGAAGGAAGAAAAAAAGATAATGGAGCCCAGATTTGGACCCAGGTTAGTGACAAAATCTTGTGAACTATCTTACAGTACAACCATATCAGCAGGAAATTCCACTTGAGGAAATTATGGAAGCTTACCTGATAGCTCCAACCCTGGGTTCCCAGATTGCTAGTTGTTGTCTCTGATATATTCAGGCATCTCGCCTGGCCTGAGTAATTGTAATATATATTCAGAGCTTGGAAAATATTCTGCAGCAGCTGTGCATCAGATAAACTGGGATTGTTCAAATACTTGCACACTACCTGTCATTTTAAAGAGACATAAAAGAAGAAGAGTCAGAATATATTTATAAAATCATAATTTTAATGAAATAAAGAAGAAATATGACTGTGATTTGCCTATAAAATAATCTTAAACATCTAATAGCATTGCTTGACAATTTCTATCTCTTGAGTATAATCCTGTTCATAAATGAATAAACCCTTACTCTCCAAGTGTAAAATTTAAATTACTCTCCAAGCTATAGAAATAAACCAAAGGCATTTGTATGGTATGCAAAGTATTCCACACCTACCACTGTAGCCTCATCTTTTTTGCACGCTTTGTTCCAGCCTAGCAAAACCATTCTCAACACACCAGGGTCTTTTTCTCCTCTTTGCCTTTGTTCACCCTAAAATACCCTTTTCTCACTCTCGCACTCCAGTAATGTCTGGCAAACACCAATACACCTTCTATAATACTTAGCTCAAGTATCACTTCCTCTATGAGGCCATCATTAGCTATGCCCTCAAGTTGGGGAGAACTAAATCACTACTCCCTTTGTGCTTCTACTTATACCCTGTACTTGCTTCTATCAAAACCCCTGTAACACTGTACTGTACTCATTTGATTCCACAACATCCCCCTCAGCACTCAGCAAGGTATCTGACAACTAAATGCTAGCTGAATGAATAAATACATTTTTGTGAAAATGTAAAATTTATAAAATTTCTTATGGAAAAACTATACCAAGCTCCAGTATCTGTGGTGTGATAAGAAATATATCAGGCAGCAACCCAGCTTCCAAATATTCCTGCCACTAGACTATCATCAGCATCTGAAATCTAGTACCTAAAAATCACAGAGAATACTTGGGGTCAGAAGTGAGGGCAGGAATGACTAGATAGAGGCATGGGGGAACTTTCAGGGGTAGGGAAATAGTCCTGATCTTCATGGAAGTCTGGGTCACACAACAAACAGTTCACTTATGACAGAATTAATTGCAATTTTATTCAAAAAAAAAAAAAAAAGAAATACTGAACTTTAATTAATGATGATAAAGGTGAAGTATCCCTGAGAAGTATACTGATGTCTGCAACTTATTCTGAAATGCATTTTAAAAATAAGATGGGGGGCGCCTGGGTGGCGAGTGATTCGCGTCGCTGACCCGATCTCTGCGATATTCGGTCATAATCTCAGTTGAAGCCTCAGGCATTCGCGGCTGCCGGTTTGGGGCTGATGGCTGCAACCTGGAGCCTGTTCTCGACCATTCTGTGTCTCCTCTCTCTCTGCCCTCCCGCTTCATGCTTTATTTTCTCTCTGTCCCAAAATAAAAAAAAAAAAAAAAAAAAAAAATAAGATGGAATGAAGGATAGAGGGATGGCTAGCCAAAAATATCTGTGCTAAATCAAATCTAGCAAAATACTTTTATAGAATTTAGGTGGTATTTTTAATGGGTGTTCACTGTCCAATTATTTCAGTATTTCTGTGTTTGAAATCTTTCACAATAAAATACTGGGGAAAAATCACAGGCAATGGTTTCACAGCTGCATAATACCACCACTTACTGATTACTGAGCTCTGGGTTTACAACCATTGTATTATATAATCCTCAAGCAATCCTATCAGATATATTATTGTCCATTATTTTACAAAAAAGAAACTGAATCTTATGTTAAATCACTTTACTCGAGGTCATCCACCTAGTAAATGTTAAGATCTAGATATAACCCAGATCTCTCTAGCTATGAAATAGGCATCTTATCCATTATGCTACACGGCTTAGGGAGCATCCTTTGTAAAACTGCAAATAGCCCCGATGGCAAGGGAAACACACTCAGCTTGCATCATGAAGTCAGTGATTTGGTCCTTTCTCATTTTATATGGAAAAGATGTATACAACAGGCAAGTCTGATTTTAAAAAAAGAGACAGGAAGAGAGAGGGACAAGCTGAGAGAAAAAGGAGCCAGGAAAGAAAGAGCCTAGTTACCCTACTTCAGGGAGAGACTCCACGCAACAGGAGCAACAAGGCCCAGGCTGGGGACATGCCCAAAAAGGAGGCACTGAGAAAGGAAGTGAACAGCAGAAAGCAAACCCAGCCTCTCCTCCTAGTTCTGTTTAGGACCAGTTTCCAGCAACACCTTTCTGAAAAAAGAGGAAATGTGAAAAGACTGCAGAAATGAATCATAAGGAAAATTCAAAGTCTCTCTCCAAATGCATTCAGCACAAAAATATTTCTGTGAAATGTTGAATGGCACTTTGTGAAAAAAAAGGTTTCAGAGTCAAATAATTTTAAGAAATATTGTGTCAGCAAATGTGAACAGTTTACTTGACTGCGGGAATCCTCAGAGCCGTTAACATGCTCAACTACAACATGACTTTCCAAAAGGGATAGAGAGTGTGCACTACTTCCAGTAAGTTTTTGGAAATAACAAATGTAAGAAAAGTCAGAAATTGGGGCGCCTGGGTGGCTCGGTCGGTTAAGCGTCTGACTTCGGCTCAGGTCATGATCTCACGGTTTGTGAGTTTGAGCCCGCATTGGGCTCTGTGCTGACAGCTCAGAGCCTGGAGTATGCTTTAGATTCTGTATCTCCCTCTCTCTTTCTGAGCCTCCCCTGCTTGTGCTCTTTCTCTCATTCTCTTGTTCTCTCAAAAACAAACATTTTAAAACATTAAAAACAAACAAACAAACAGAGCCTGGGACCAAAACATACATGCTTATAGTTTATTTGGGAATGTGATCCCAAAGAAGATAAACGACAGGGACAGAAAAAGGTAAGGAAAAAAAGGTGATACGGAAATGTGTACCAGGTGGTCACCACCACGGCCTTCATAAGGCGCCTATAAGGGATCTTCATGGAATTCCTCAGAACCCTTGTGCACTATGGGTGAGAATATAAATTGGTACATTGTGGAAAACAGTATGGAGGTTCCTCAAAAAATTAAAAATAAAACTACCATAAAATCCAGCAATTCCACTTCTAGGCATATATTCAAATGAAAGGAAATTAGGATCTAAAAGAAATATCTACACCCCCATGTTCACTGCACCATTATTCACAATAGCCAAGATAAGGAAACCTAAGTGTCCATTGATGGATGAATGAATAAGGAAAATGTGAGATGTATATAAATGAAATGGAATATTAATCACTCTTTAAAAAGAAGCCTTGCCATTTGTGAGAATATGGATGAAACTGGAAGACATTACACAAGCCAGATACAAAAAGACAAACATTGTATGATCTCAGTTATGTGTAGAATCTAAAAAAGTCAAACTCATAGAACCAAGGTAGAATGGCAGTTGGTAAGGGCTGGGGGAAGGGCAATGGGTAAATGCAGAAATGTTGGTCAAAGGATATAAACTACTTTCAGTTATAAGATGAATAAGTTCTGGAGATCTAATGACGATATTGGTGACTACTATTAATAATACTTGAAATCTTCCAGGAGAGCCCCGTGTCGGGCTCTGTGCTGACTGCTCAGAGCCTGGAGCCTGTTTCAGATTCTGTGTCTCCCTCTCTCTCTGCTCCTTCCCTGTTCATGCTCTGTCTCTCTCTGTCTCAAAAATAAATAAACGTTAAAAAAAAAATTAAAAAAAAAAAGAAAAGTCAGAAATTAAGATGTCCAAATAACCTGGATATACCTTTAAAAAGTAACAGCGAGGTCATAAGAGTAAGATAAACCTGAAAAGGTGTACAGGAAGAAACAGTACTGAGCTAACCTCAGAGCTTCGCAAACCTGTTAAGCCTAAAGCAATAAGAAAATGAAAGCTGAAGAAAAAAGGCAAAACAGTGTTTTACTTTTCTACAACTTTCATTTATTCATGGTAAGTCAAAAAATACCTAACAGTTGTTGGAAAATGTCCCTAAGAAATATGCCAATCAGAAACACTCAAGAAAATATGGAAATCAAGAACCAATCACAGAATTTGTTAAACTACTTATTGCCAACAGTTGGTCAGCATTGCTTCCTGACTGTGGACACTAACGGTGGATTCAGCTGTTTCCAAATGCAGCATAAAGGTATGGAATGGACCCGCGGAATGCATAGGAGAGCGTTATGTCCAAGCACAGCACAGTAGATGAGGCAGGGTGACAATGTAAGCCAGGCAGGAGGAAAAGGGAGCGCTGATGAGCAACAACAAACAAGTTGCCTAAAACTCTGTTAAAGAACAGTAGCAAGTAAGTGTGACTCACATGCTGGCATCAGATCCCCTCTCAGAGCTAGAACACTGGGCCTCTGTCAGGCAAAGAAAAGGAGTCCCCATGAATAGCCATCTCTGCAAACAGCAGTTACTGTCACTCCTTAAAAGACACAGGCATGGCTGGGGACCGGCACCGGCTGACAATACTTGGGTTTCGGCAGTGCCAGTTACTCAGAGGGAACATCGTGGTCAGAAACTTGGCGTCTACTAATAGAAATTCCATATCCAGATTAAGGGCACTCCTGGGCCCACTGTCCTCTGTAAGGTCAGGGCTCCCTTGGAGCACTGGGTCCAGTTCCGAGCACCACACTTTAAAAAGGACACTGACCAACATGAGAAAATGTAGAGGGGAGCAATCAGGATGGGGAGTTGAGGAAAAGTTGAAGCAATCCTACAACTGTTTGTTTGTATCATTTTTCCAATCTTTCAGTACTACAAATAAGGCTACAATAAATAACCTTGGGCCTAAATCTTTACGTACACCCTGAACTGTTTTCTTGAGATAAATTCTTAGAGGAGTTATTAGTTCAAAGGAAATAAACATTTTTAAGGCTTTTGCTACATCAAGCTGCCTGATAGAAAGAAAGTACCAATTTATAATCCTAGTGGCACATTAGATAGAAGGCCTAAAAAAACTTCTTTTTGTAAAATATTTACAAATTTTTTTTAGTAAAATATTTACAAATTTACTAAGGGAATTTTATTATTTTAGGTGCTTCTAAAGTTCCTTTCTAAGTGAAAAATTCTGTGAGTACAAGCATCATTCTCTAGTGTAAACAACACAATCTCTACATATCTCTGTATACTACCTTAACAATTATGGTAGCAAAGAGTGAA